TAAAGCGCGCGAAATCATGACTTGGCGAAAATTGCCTCCCTTTCCCTGCTTCTTTCACAATGAATAAAAGTTTGTACAAGATTTACAAATAGAGGAAAATAAATAATATTCATTTATACTAAATAATATTTCCCGAAGCATCTGTTTCTCCCCAAAATTAAAGCCTTAAATTAAATAATTCAGAATCAAAATAAAATTTAAATTTCCATAAATCATAAAATCATTCACCTAATTTTTTATAACGCTATCAGATAATTTCTCTACATAACACAATGCTGAAGACGAAATATAGATTCAGCTCCTCTGCCCCAGATACAAATTATTCACAAAGGTAAAAAAACATGGTGCATTTTGCTTGGTAAAGACATTAAAAGAATAAAAGAATAATTTTTCACAGAGAACTCCATTACTAAAAATTTTGTCTCTTAATAAAAAAAATGTTCGAAAATTTTTGCAGGTCAAAATAACCGATTAGCCCGAAGCTTTAAGTTCTTTTTTTTAATATTGATCCCAAACATATCCCAATCATAAAATTTTTCAGTATAAGTTCAATATTGTATTAAAGGGTTTAAAAATATAAAATCTAGCTAAAATTTTTGTAAATATCTGACAGTACTTTAAACATATCTTCTCTTTCTTAGCAATTTTCCCCTGTGGCTTGCTCTGTTGAAAACAAAAATATGGCGTTTAATACATATAGAATGCAAAACATGTCTTAATCGACTGTTAATATTATCCAGAAGCTTTGGCTTTAGGTCAACAATATCTCTAATGATTAGTTTTCTGGGAAAAGGAAAGGTATAAACAGATTTTCGACAATGAGAGGAGGGGTAGCACCTCTAACATCCCGTGTTAGAGTACCACTATATTACGTTAACTGCAGTGGTCCCTCATTAATCCCTTCCAGATCCTTGGATTTATCCGAACTGGACATATACCAAATGAACGGTTCCAATAAAAAATAGCGTAAAAATATTTAAATCCGTTCTTGTAAAAACTCCTAGTAATTTTCTTATAACACTGTTTAATACAGAGGTTATGGGTAAGCTACATATCGCACATAAAAGAAAATTTACCAGATTTATTTACCCTTTTCTGCCCTTTTCATATGTCAGGTCACTACTTGGACCTGGTTGAGGATCACCGGTATGACCTGTCCAAAAAACTTTGCTTCTGCCTTCTCCTCAGGATGTTTCAGAAATCTGACATAGTTTGATTATTCAAAAAAATGCTGCTACTGCTTATTTGAGCTGTGATGGGATGGTACTTCTCTGAAGAGTATTTGACAGCCATCCATTTGGCAAAGGTTTCCTTAATTAATGAAGTAGGAACTTCCTCCTTCTCCTCCTCCTTATCTGAGCCTTAAAGAGTGTAGCCATCTTGATAAGTTTTTTCAGATTCAACCGTAGCCAGCTCTTCTTAGTTTCCCCTACTAACTTCTTCACATAGTTGTCGCTCATGTCTAGACCCATGGACTTAACCAGAGAGACAATATCCTAAACTGTAAGCGCGGTCCCAATTATTTCAGTCACTGCTTCTGGCCACAAATTCCTCCAAAGGACACCGAAGGCAATTGTTACAAAGGACGTCAAATTTGGCTGAGTACAGATTTCTCATCCAAGGTTGCGGTACCTTTACGACGACGCTTTGCAAAACCGTAGTATTGTCTCGAAAGAGTTAAAGAAGGGAAGTGCGAGCAGTCGTTACTCAACCAACTCGAGTGGTATTCCAAACAAATACTGCATCCAAAAAAACATTTTCTAGTGGGAGTTTTGTTTGTAGCACAAACTGTACCTGTTCTGTTCAACTTTAGACTAAATAAAAAGGTTATTTTGTTCTTCTTCAGTACTAATTTAGAAGTCAAACAAAATCAGCGTTATATTTGCAAATTTTCACAGGACTAGTTTCGATGGTTTCATTGAACCATCACCCTCAGCTGCCAGAGGGCAAATGAACAAGATAAGGTATAGTGATAAGATAAGATAAAAATGGATGGACAGGAGTTAAGCTACAGGCGTCATCTGTTGATGAAGCGAGAAAACTAAAACATAATTTCCTTATAGGCTAAAGGTAAAGATGGATTGGAATTAAGGTCGTTAGCTAGGACAGCATTAAGTTGTCTAGAAAGTAGACTTCGTAAATTTCATTTCTCCTGCAAAATTGATGAGCTAATTTCCCTTACTCCACTCTGAAACAAATGCATTTTGCTTTCCAAAATAAGTATTACAAGTCAGCTGAGGAATTATGCATGGGAAGCCCTCTTAGTCCCATCCTGGCTGATATCTACATGCATTATTATGAATCAAAATTTTTTGAAACGTTATACTTTTGAACATGGTTCCGCTACGTAGACGATACATTTACCCTGTTTGACGTAAGTGAGCACAGTACCGTAAACCTTCATCCGTTTGCCTTCCACCACACTTCAAATCATGTCATCCGACGAAAGTTAGCTTCATTTTATTCCTTTGTTTTCCGCGCATTTAAAGTTTGTTCCTCCAAGTTAGCTCTTGATCAAGAACTAAATTATTTAAAAGCTGTAGCTATATAAAGGGACGTTTCACCCAACATTTGTAACCAAGCAGTTGAAAAATTCTCATTTCAACACACCAAAATATACACTCTTGTTTTAGGAGATTATAAGAATTCTGTTGTCATTCCTTTCTTTCCATCCGTTAGCTATATAACTGCACGTATTTTACAGAAATTTAACTTTCAGGTCGTTTATTCTCCTATCAATAAAATTCCAAGTTCCATACTTAAAGACTCCCATTCTGGATATGAATTCCTAGGGTATTTACAGGATTCTTTGCCAGAGTGGTTTAATTTACATTGGTCAAACTAAGACAGCCTTAACATTTCACGTTAAAGAACATGAGGCATATGTTATGAAAAAGAAACACAGAAGTCCACTGTTGCCGAGCATTGTTGGTCCAAAAATCACACTTTTCAGTTTTCTGCAGCCAAATTTATTAGAAACACATCTTCCATTGGTGAATCAGATTTTCTAAAGGCGTTTCACATTCAAAAAATTTTTTTCTGTTCTAGTTGACTCGAATTCTAGTCCATCTTTACCTTGAGCCTATAAGGAAATAATGTTTTAGTTTTCTTGCTTCATCAATAGACGACGCCAGTAGCTTAACCCCTGTCCAGCCATTCTTATCTTAGCTGGTTCATTTACACTTTGGCAGCTGAGGATAAAGGTTCAGTAAAACCATCGAATCTAGTCTTGTGAAAATTTGCAAATATAACGCTATTTTTTGTTGTGTGACTTCTAAATTAATATTTGTTAGGCATGTTATTTTAACCTTAGCCTATAAATTCTTTATTATTTTGTGAGTTGCTTAAGGGACGTAGCGATACTTCATTATTACTGTAGTAGAACCTGCAGAACTGTAGAGTCCAGTTACAACATAAACCTTACACATCTAAAGTCGAATGAAAATATTGCCGGTCTTCGTATTGCTCTGTGATCCAATCCAACGATCGGAAAAACATTTGTCAAGATAGTTCCGTACATTTGCTTCATCATTTATGAACCAGTTTTTTAAAACACAAATAGGGCTCTAAAATATATATCATTATACCAAAGCAATTCGGCTTAATTTTTTTTTTAAATAAGAAATAATGAAGAAATGAAAAAGTTTCAAAAATAAGAATAATGTTGTTGCGAAGATAGACAACCACTCCTGAGACATCTCGTATAAGGGGCAGGCAAATGAAAGCGAGACAGACTATATATTGAGCATAGCGCGGAATTTAGTAACACAGGTAGGTTTGTGTATTGTGCTCGGTATTGGGAATCAGGAAGAAACAGCGCGAACGCTCACTCCTGTGTCATTTGTGTGTTAGACGTGCTCGAAGTGAAGTCAGAGAATCGTGTGTGCGTCCGCAATCACTATGGTGGCTGAAAATGAGAAACACATTGCTGTAGTGCGTTTTTTGACTGCAGAAGGACTATCAAAAAGTGAAATTCATGTCCGAATGTCTGCTGAGTATGGGGAATACAGTATATCACGTGCGGATATGTTTGAAAGGAATAAACAATATGAATAATATCGAGAAGACTAGGTGTCATTGAAAGACAGAAATTGGCCAAGACTGCTTATTATGCCATTACCCCTTCTATCATTGCTACAGTGGCTTCACATGTTGGGCATTGGTCACGGTACCGTTCACGCTATCATGACAAAGCATCTAAAGGTCCGAAAAATCTGTACACAGTGGTTTTCCCACAGCCTAATGGAGTAGCAAAAGTTGAACAGAATGTCGACATCACTGCAGCACCTGGAATGGTATCACGATGAAGAATATTGACTCCTGTCCCGTATTGTCGCAGCAGATGAAATATGGTACCATCATTCTGAGCCGGAGAGCAAGAGTCAGAACCAACAATGCAAGCATATGGCTCATCCCCACCGAAAAAATCCAAAGCCATGCACGCCAGCTTCAGGAAAGTCAAGCTGAACTTTTTCTTTGACTGCAAGAGCCCGCTGCTCATTGACTTTCTGGAACACAACGTCTCAATTAACGCATAGCGGTGCATGGAAACTTTTCAAAAATTAAAGGGCTCCATGAAGTCCAAACGCCCAGAAATATTGACGGACGGTATCATTCTATTGCAGGATAATGCCCCCCCCACATGTTGCCACAATTTTAAGACTATGCTGCAGAAGTTTCGCTGGGGTTCTTACACAACCTTCATACATTCCAGATCTCTTCCCTTGCGATTTCCATACTTTTGCAGCCTACGAGAAAGACATCCGTTGCCATGGATTTGTTTCTGAAGAAGAGGTGTACACCTGGGCACAATCACAGTTCTGTACGCAACTGAAAACATTTTTCCATCACGGCATTGACCGTCTTTTTTCACAGTGGGATAAATGTGTTAACAGTTATGGCGATTACTTTTGGAATAAAAAAACAGTTTAATTACTTTTTCCATCTGTCTCGTTTTCACTTGACTGCTCCGTATATATAAGTTAATAAATTCGGCTTACCTAAATTTCCAAATACCGGTCCTAAGTGAAAGCAATTATAAATGAAAATAGGAGTTTTAGACATCATGAACATATCTGAAAATGCCAATCCAACTACGAACATATTTGCTGGTGTTCTTAACGTTTTGGACCTGTAAAATATCGTAATTTTTAAATGCATGAATAAATTTGTTCAAATAATAATAACTTAAGTAGTATGTAGTACATTTCAAATATAAGTAATAGGAGGATTTTAAAATGAATAAAAGACAAAAATACTGTTTTTCACTTTAGAGAAAAAATGAAAGATGCTTCTGGATCAAAAATCTTTCTCTTTTTAGCAATATTTTTAACATTAACTGATAATTCTGTATACCATTTGAATTTTCTGATATTATTTATTCCAGCAAAGAAAAATCATAAAATGATATATGGAAATAGATGCCTTTAACATTATAACTTTAGATAATAGAATATACGTATATTATAATATAATCAAATAATTATAAGAAAATTTTTAATTACAGTATAACTAATATTTATAAGGAAACAGTTTGGTAAGTTTAGGAATTAAAAATTATCATTCCGTTTTGATGACTATTCTTATTTGAAATGTAATAAAACTATCATCTATCAATTATCATTGGTTTCCAACCGGTGATACGTGTACCACTGGGGGTAAGCAAAATATTCAAAAAGGTAAATTTTGTGACTGAATAAAAGAAAAGTCAAGAATTTCCGATGTGACCAATACCGATCGAAATTTGTACAAAAGCAATGTCATCACTTGTAACCAGTGCAGGATTTACATTATAAGGCTATACAAGCTTTGGGGGCTCTTAGGGCCTCCCAAAAAACCCTCTATATATTCGAAAATCATATTTGGCATTGACATATAACATCTGGACTTATAAAGGGCCCCATATCTTAAATAGCTTAGGGCCTCATATCAAATCTAAATCCGGCCCTGCTTGTAACTAGTCCCTCCTACAATAATCATATTGCTCGATTTTTTTTATATGCACCACATGTAGTTGTTCCTATCTACTTTTTATTACTGCACTTTCTACAAAAATTGGCAGCCAACCAAATTTTCAGTATTGAAGCTCAAGTGAATTCGCAGTCCTCGTCTTTTGCAGTTGTGACATTCGAACCAGTTTAAATGTGAGTTTTGTTTCAAATTAGTTGCTTTAGAGTTACTTGAATATTTAGAAAAAAATGGTTAGGTGATTATAGGATTGAATTTTTCTCTTAGAATTAAACTAGTTAGTATGTATAATTGCTCTGATATGGCGTCAGCACCAGAAGCCTCCAAGGAATGAGTAGGTCTAATATTTAAGGGTGGGGTGATGCAGTTATTCTTACATTTATTTAGAAATAGTTATCAACTTAAGATATAGACCGGTAAGTAGAAAGAAAAATCCAAGTGGATAAAACCTTCGTTATTGTTATCTCATTTAAAAATCAAACACCCCAGTTAAAAACAAAAAGGTATAAACATTTTCAGTAAGTGTCTTATTGTTATTTAAAGATTAATCTTCTGCATTATCAGCTAACACATGCAATGAAAAGGCCATTGAAGCGTGTTACAGAATAAATTATCGTATCGTTAAAAATGGTAAATATCATACAGTTGATGAACATAGTTCCTTATGTTTAAGACACCTGGTAATTCTGAGACTTTCTGAAATTAACATATGGTATAATCTTGTATACAGCTTTGCAAGCGGTTTCTATTGCAACGTGAACTTTAAAATGAGAATAACATGAGCTAAAAGCAAAGTAAAAAAACTTCGAAGCGACAAATGTTAACTAATAAACAGCTCTTTATATGAAAGTCATTTGAGGACTATATTTTGTGCAATTTGGTTAAATAAGCGCATGTTATCAATGTATAACGAAAATAGCAAGACAGTACTCACACAAGGAATATGTAGATGACCATTCCATTTCCAACGCAAGAGACAAATGTCAATCCAATGTAGAGTATACCTAGTAAGTAATGAAGATAGGGAGCGGGTGCCCTAAATTGCTTCCAGTAGGGACCAACATACACATCTGGTGGTGTATTCCATCCATTGTAGCGATTCTCGTAACACCAGCTTGGTGGGCCATCATCCACGAAACTGGGTGCGTACGGAGAAGAAATATTCAGCATCTGCCAGCGGTACTGACCAAAACAGAAGAATTAGATAACAGTTCAGCATAAGAATAATATATATTAGAATTTTCACGTCCAACATAGAAATACCAAAACTGTAGAGATAAAAATCTATGGTATTATTTTATTATAAATTAACATCACTTGGAGATTCTTACTAGTTTTTTTATAATTATTATTTTTAAAAAAGAAAAATATTTGTTATTAAAAACATATGGGAGGTTTTTTTTTTTTTTTTTTTTTTTTTTTTTTTTTTACTTGCGAGTGAAGGTTTTAAGAATCATCCTGTGTTCATATCTTTATCATAAAAGAGGAAAGTATGTATGGTATTAACAAATATTACTAAAGTGATAAAAGCAGATAGAATAGAACCAAAAATATTTGACAAAGAAAACCAATAACGGATTCATTTTATACTTAGCTTTATATTTCGATTTTTGTATTAGGTCATGCTGATTCAAGTCCCATGTCAGTGGTATCTCAACCAGTTTAGTCTCATGCACTGCTTTCCAAAACTCAAAAAAATGCATGTACATTTATTTAAATTTAGATTAATTTTAACGGCATAGCAGGAAGCGGGTGAAGTGAGGTTAATCGCATTCTCCACTGCCCAAAACTGTGAAATTCCCCGTAGTTGAGAACCTATGCCCTAGGTCATCCCAAGAAGAATTACAAGTAGAATTATTATTTTATAATTTTGATTTATTATTATTTTTCTTTTTAAAAAAAATCAAACGCAAAATTGCAATTTTGTTGGTAAACCTTCTGCTTACTCTTTCAGTGGTAGCTGAAATAACTTCGTTATATCGGTACATATATATGATATGTACATGTCAACTATTCGCGAAAAATTAGGATTATTGTTTACTTGTTTACTTACTTATTTGTGCGACTGAATAGGAAACTAGAATTCTGTTAGTAATCGATTTTCTCGAAGACAAACTGGATCATAACACTAGGTTAGTTTGCTAGGCCGGCGATACGGCGGTAGCCGTCAGTTCATTCCAAAGAATAATTCCTTTTCAATATTCCATAATTTTGCCTTAGGCATTTAGGACTGGTACAGTAAATGGTGGAACAGTATAAATACTTTTAACCTCCTGCTTGTCAGAAGGTGCAAGACTGGGAATCTAGCACTGAAACACCTTTGCTTACTTTGTAAAATTTAAACCGTGTAAATAATGTAAGTTGTCTCAGAGTTTTCCTCATCCATAGGATCACATACCATATTAAGTACGCTCTAAAAAACGACTGTGGTGCAGACAAACAAACCATTTGCTGACCGCAATTCCTACTGCTAAACCGCAAATTACTGCATTTGCTACTTGCAGTTAGCTTATAATGCTGAGTTTTACTATATTCAGTAATTTCTTATATATACTTCATTTCATTTATTGTTGTATTCCTGAATTTAAAAGCTTCAAATAACTCTATAGCTTATTTACTTTGTTTGCATTACTTGTACAGTTTATGTTCATTTTGCATCTTTTATTTTGTATTTTGATTTAGGGTTGAGGTCACTTTTGTCTCTCCTCACTTTTCATCTGATTGACATCCTTACAGTCTAGGAAATGGTCTACTCCGCTTTAACTCACTTCCTTGATCGTTCTCGAAAGTTCCCCCTTTAACTCGTCCAAGTTATGTGCCCTCAAAGGCTTAATTTTCTATTCTAGTTCATAATTTGTTTCCGTTTCGTAATACTTATTCAAATGCATACCAGTCGAGTAAACCATATAGTCTCATGTAACACATATAACACCTATAGTATAGTATAACATATATAGTGTATATACAAACATAACTCATATATATTAGAGTAAAATAGTAAAATTGTTCTACACGCTTAATGTAATGGGGGGAACAACTAACTATACTGGAAAAGCATAATCACTACACTAGTTGCAGCAGCTCGGACCTTATTATCGGCACGACTGAGTGGCACAGGACATCTCGTACTGTCGTTTGCGGCATATTGTGATTCTGAAATAATTAATTTTGTTAACTAAACTTGCATGCGGCACTGTGATGATGTAAACTTGCATGCGGAACTTTGATGCGCTTAGTGTTATTTTTTAATATGTAAACATATTTGCATTTCAATTTGACCAGTAATATGATTTTAAAATTGCGCTGAACAAAAAATATAATATATTAAATTAAATATAATTAAGAGATTGCGACTAATGTCTCTTTAAATTCATCTATTTGAACAATTTAATCAAATTTTCGTGACCTTATGTGGTTTGTGTCCCACAGTGAAAGAAACGCTGCGGTAAAGAATTTTTTGACTCGGCAATATCTAAAAAATCCTCAATTCTTATGTGTACTGAATCTGTAATGAATGTGAAAATCTGATGTGAAAACAAAAAAACTATAAAAATCTGATTTCCTTGTACGGAATACTAAATTATACTCATTTTTTTTGCTGCATTTCATTTAAATTTATTTCCTCGAATTTCATTAGAGATATATTTCTCATTCAATTAATTCAGTTCTCACTTCGCGACAAAGCAAAAATACATAAAACCTCAAAATATCTTTATTAAAAATTGAAAAATATAGAAAAATATAAAAAGAAAAATCTGAAATATTTTAGTTTTTATATTACGCACAAAGGTTTTTTTAACGTTTTATGTGTTCTCTCTAGTTATTAAATATCATGTTCTTCGCACTTAAACGATAAAATTCAATTCAACAGCAATATCACAAAAAAATAATATACCACACTAAAGAATAAACATTATTCTCGCATGAATACCATGTTATCTAAGTTTTTCTTATTTTAATTCATATCTCATACATAAACATATTAGAATGAAATATAATCCAAGTATAATTAATCAGGTAATCCGAGAAAAAGAATAAAGAATAAACTAACCTAGTAAGCAAAAAATATCCGTTACATTCCAAATTCTAAATATTTGTTTACATAAACATTTATAGCAAGGCCTGTCGGGAAACACATATCAGACGATTGAAAACGAACGATCGGGAGAGATCACATGATCATTTTATTTCCAACAATTTCAAAAGTGAATCGACGCAAAATGACAAAATGAAATTAACAGCACTTCTGGGCAAATTCCCACTTTGGGCTAACGCAAAAACAAGCAATTAGTGCAGCGGACAAGAAAACAGATTTTTCGGTACACAAAACTAAAATTTCCTTTTGGGTCCCACTCGGCAAAAAGACTTTGAAGGGGCAAAAGGACTAAATTACTATTCTAATAAGTTTCAAATGTAAACAAATATGGTTGCCATGCTAAAAAAATTAGGCTTAGCAGCACTTGAACAAAGTTTTAATTGTTGATAATTCTACAACCGTTGTATGCAGATTAGTTAAAGTCATAAAACCCTTAACCGGAAGACAAGAACAACATAATTTCATTACTTTTAAAGCAAAAAATGCACAGTTTTCCAACACATAAAACATAAGAATAAAATACTGACCTCATTGAACCGAGTAACAGAGGGTATATATATATATACTGTGATATATATATATATATGTATATATAATATATATATCACAGTATCAAAGCTACTTTTTAGAGGAAGCATTAAGAATATTCTTTTAAACTTGTTTTCTAAATTTTGCAGCTCAATGCGCAAAGTTTTTTACCACGAAGGTCTTTTTAGTTTGTTCACCTTTCTTTAATTATATATATATATATATATAATATATATATATATGTTTGCAATTAAATTTCATTAACTTTTAATTTGTTTTTACGAATAGAGAATGTTTGTTAAATTTATATATATATGTATGCTTTTAGTGCGGCCGATTGCAACCAAAAGGACACAACTACATTTTATAGCAGTCCTATACGCAAAATTTCAATGTTCTGAGGCTACTTGTTATTGAGTTATGCGAGATACATACATACATACGTACGTACAGACGGCCACGAATAAAATCTCTTCTGAATCCATTTTAAATCAGTTTTATAAATCGGTTGGGGAAAAGGGGGTCCTTTATTCTGTCCATATATACAGATGTCACCCAAAAACAATTTATTAATTAATCGTTAAATTGCATTCGATAGCGGTCAAAATGGATTTTTTCATTGAACTATGATACCCGGAATGTTTCGTGGTTACAATACTTCCTTTACTTTGAGAAAGGAAGTAAAAACTAAAAGAACATAAGCCAACAATTCTGTAATGAACCAAAAAATGTTAGCACCTAGTATTGTAACAACCACAAATATTGTGCAACTAACGATTTCAAGGAAAAGGCTAAATTCATACACATATTCAGTCTAACAACATCTAGGCGAACTAAGTACTCATTTACCGAAGAGCGACCCAATCTGCTTCATGCCTCATTTTACTCTAGAGAAGACTATTATCGAGAGGTAGAGTACCAAGTTGCCTGGATTCATGCAAACAATAAGAATTTGGGATTGGGAGCAAATAGATCTAATTAAAATATTCTACATCTTGCCTACAACACTCTTCATTTCTCGCAACTTCTTCGATGTAAGTATATTATCCAACCAGCGATCGAAAGGTAAAATAGCTAAAGACTGGTAGTTCGATCCGGGTTCAAATACCGGAGAAAGGCTGGCTGCATGAAAGTTGTTTCCTCTTCGTGTGTAACAAAAATACCAGCCAGTTTCCTTAGAAAGCCGTATACGAAGGCATTATTAGCCTTAAGTATTTTAGCCCTCGAGTGCTGTCTTATTATGCAATCTAATTTAAGTAGTTTAAAGTAATCACTGAAATTATCTCAACTAGCATTTTATCTTGACAACACTTTTCACTAGCATTTTATTTTGATCAGAGGGAAATTTCCGCAGTCCTTTCTCTGTACTTTTTAATAACAGCATGCATTTGTATAAAAACCTAATTTACAATAAATTACAGTGCTAACATATTACATTTACGTAAATCTTAATTGTATATAATATAATATAAGATTTACGAAGCATAGTAAAAATGGCAAAATATCTTTTATGAATAATCTTTATGCATATGACAAAAATTTCAAAAAAATACCGAATAGTAATGCTATATTTTTTTAGTTTGGAAACAGAAAAGAAGATCAGAAATCTCTAAAATTAAAATTTCTGTGATTTTTCTACGCTTTTATTATAGCTGCGCTAAGTTACTGCTCGAAACGATATGCGGTTATTATCTCATAATTCAAAACATGCAGTTGTGAGATTGTTTCGATCGTATTAGTTTCAGCTGACGAAATTAAATTAACAATTTTAGCTTATTTCAATCCAAGAATTTTGATAAAATATGAAACTGCTATGAGCTGCTTTGGCCTTCCATTTACCTTTCATTTGTTTTAGCAGTTTTTCTTGCTTTTCAGTGTACTTGTGTGAATGCTTTCATATTGTGATACAATCATTAAATCATACTTCTAGAGAATATTTCTCAATTACTGAAATCACTGTACTTCTCTACTGTTGGAGTGAAAGTGAATTTTTCCCCTGAGAAAGTCCGTTGTGAATCCAAGTGGTATAAATTCGAAATATGATTCTTGCGGATGATAGATATTACTATGTTTTAAATATGCATTTAAGCATATTTATTGCTTGGCAGTCCCAAAACATTTCACCTTTAAATTTAAAAACCTTTCTCTTTAATTTGAAAAAAAAAAAAAAAAAAAAAGTCAGGTATGTGGTTATCCCAAGAGGCGCTCTGTCATGTATACTTTCATGTATACATCATTCAAATCAAGTAGTAAAAGAATTTTGCGTGGTACTAAATTTAAATTTAAAAAAAATAAAATCTGAAAGGTTTCAGATTTTAAATTACGTCCAAAGGGGCGTTTTTTAACGTTTTTTGTGTCACCTTTATTTATTAAATATCATGTTCTTTGCTCTTAAACCATAAAACGCAATTCAACAGCAATATCACAAAATAATTTAAAGGAGCATATCTTTCGAATTTCCGATACACAGTTTTGCGAGCCGGAGACAATTTTTTTTTAAGAACAGTGTTGCCATTGACCGTTTTGAAATCGTTGCGTTTCTTAATCAAAAACTCATAAATGCTTTACTAAATATGAAATAGATAATAAACTAAATTCCAAATTTCAAATTTGGTCTTCCACATGCTCATATTCGTAGGAGGATTACGTCATTCAAAATTCGATGGCTCTATGTACCGTTGTTTTGTCACAATGCGAAAAATATACATACATTTATGTAGATTTTTCATTATTTAATTTCTTCAAATATAATGCAAGACTCTAACATTTGGTGGCAACAGTTTGAAAAGTGAAACGTACATTTATAGTGATTCAACGCAAAATCGCAAAACGAAAATAATAGTCCTTCAGGGACAAAGCTCCTTTGGACTAAAAGTAAGCTTATGTTCTTTTCTACAAGTTATTCGGGTACGAAAGGTACGAAAATAAATATGAAATTTTTCTAAATGAATGATTTTACTGATTCAGGAACGATATTCCAAATAACTTACTGAAAGCACATCAGACATTTTGTTGTCGATCACAATGCACTACACGTCGTATTATATCAAAATTATCCATAACATTTGGCATTATGGCAATAAATATTAGTTATTAGACTTACACTTCTGAGCACTCACTTTACTTCTGGCCTGCTTGAGCTAATCACATGTATCCGCACAGAGAGACTTCGGATGTTCTGACTGTTCGATAAACGAAGGGAGAAATTTGCTGAAGTGAAGTTTTCTTTTGCGAATCCGATAAGCCTAGGAAGAAGCCTTATGAATTCTCGCTAAAAACATGTCATACGAAAAGGAGCAGAAGAAACTTCTTGTACTTTCTTCATCTTAAGTTCTAACATTGTTGTCTGACATTGTCTCCGAAGCCCGTGTAATCACATTCTTCCCTTTGTACCAACATAAGACTCAATTAGTATGGACTTTTTTTATTACGGCTTCAGGTTTCGCGTTCGAATGAAAGAAGTACACCTATCATAGAGAAACCCTATATATTTAAGTTTTCCTGTCCTTACGTGTTTACTGCATTGATTATGATAAATTATTTTTTTATCCTTCGAGATTTTGAAAAGATGCTTTTAATATAACTCAAGTAGATTTGGAATTTACAATAACTGCACTAGCTGAAGAAATCGATAAAATATCATGAGAAGGAAGAAATAATCGCATCCTTTTTGCTATTTTGATCATATTGTCATCTGATAACGTTCACTCTTACTTTCTTGTTTTAGACAAACAAAATGAGTGGCCAATAACACTCTTTCAACTGAAGCCCTAACAGAAAAAGCATTGTTTCATGCATTTCATTTAAACTTATTGAATTTAATTAAATCTACTTCGTCGATAGCGCATAAACCTCAATAGAATAAATGCATTTTTTAAAATTCAGTATATTTATTTACCATAGCGACTCTCTGGCGCTAAATTAACTTAACAGCGTTACTTCTCATTCATTTTATAACTCAGAATCCATAAAAAATATATCATCCGAAGAATAAAATTCAAATACTATAGTTAAAACGGTGTATAAAAGAAATTAAACAGTTAAAAAAGAAACAGGTTTTCACAGAGGATTCAGCGCCACTTACCTAATGCGCATGCACTGCTCGTAAACATTCTCCTTTGCCCAAGACAGACTGGCGGCAATATGTGTTGCTAATACGAAACACTTATTTCCTTGAATTTCATTAGAGATATAGGTCTCATTTTATTAATTCAGTTCTTACTTCGCGGTAAGGTAAAAACACATAAAAACTCAAAATATTTATATCAAAAATTGAAAGCTATAGAAAGACGTAAAACACCAACTACAGTTAAAGCAATTTTACCAATAAAATTACAGTTTCTACGCAAAAACAAGCAATTCTTCCAGCAGGCAAGAAGGCATACGCGATAAAAAGACACTTGAAGGTGCAGAAAGACTTAATTCATTATTCTGCTAAGTTTCAAATGTAAAAAAATATGGCTGCTATGGTAAACAACTTTTAAATTGTTGATAATTCTACAAGTATTGCATGCAGTTTAACTAAAGGCATAAAAACCTTAATCGGAAAATAAGAATAATATTAATATATAGTAGATAATTCAATCAATTTTAAAGCAAAAATGCACAATTTACCAACATATAAGAATAAAAAATACGAGCTCACCGAGCCGAGTAACAGAGTGAGTATGTATAGTATATATTTATATTTATAAACGTTTGGGGCCGCCTATTGCAACAAAACAGGGAGTTGCACAACTACATGTTATAGCAGTCCTATATACAAAATTTCAACTTCCTATGATTACTCGTTTTTGAGTTATGCGAGATACATATATAAGTACGTACGTACATACAGACGCCACGAAGAAATGTCTTCAGAATCCATGTTAAATTAATTTTATGATTTTTTTGGGGGGAAAAGAGTTCTATATTCTGTCCTTACGTACAGATGTCACGCAAAAACATCGTTAAATTGCATTCGATAGCTGTCAAAATGGATATTTTCGTTTAAATAAGGTATACGGAATGTTTCATGATTACAATACTTCCTTTACTTTGTACAAGGGAGTAAAAATTTAATGGAATAACAAAATTGTGGCAAGCTTAGTTGTTGAAGTGGATTTAAAGCATGCTTCAATTTTCTATCAGAACTAAACGTTTGCTTCATTTATTTTTGTTCATCTATGCGTGGAACGGTAATAAAATAACAGTTAATTTTTTGAAAAATAAGTCTCTTAAATTACTGTCTTTTAAACTGTTAATATATTAACACCTCTCTGCAACTATATTCAAAGATTTCCATCTTTTCTCATTTAACATACTTCCAAACTTTTGCAGTTTAAACCGTGAATACAAATTTATATCTTTGATGTTTGCATAAAATATTGACGATTGCTGCATTTCTTGACATATTCCTCAGTGGCAGATATACCAGTCAAGTTCTTTACAACTACGTTTTTCGTGATTTAGAAAATTACTGTAATAAAACATATGAGAAAAAAGCTATTGCAATGATATAAACTGCAATATTCCAGCAGTAATGACCTGAGTTTAGATTAGAAAACACGGATTAATACAAATCCATACATTTGCATCCTCATTTTGAGACCTCTGTTCAAAATCAAAACATTCTGTTTATCATGTTACTAACTTTTAATAGCAATTTCCTATTTTACTCTTTCCATAATTTTCTCAGCGCTTGAAATTACCGCTTGAGGTAGTGAAAAACTGTGGTTTTTACTTTTAAATAAGGTAGATAATATTTTCCTTAAATTTGTATATAAGTAGATAGAAGCAATAAGGTCTTTTTGTATAATTTAGTTATCTACAATATTAGTCGCTAATGAATGCCATAACTGATTTATTCAAAGCGGGCATTTCATTGTGAAGAAATTCTTATATAATGGATACGATAGCTTTCAATTGGTAAGAACCGATATAATTAAGGACAGATCATGTTCTTCTGTAGGGTTTTCCTTAGTTTGAATAACAAATTATTTTAGTTTTGGTATTTTTTCTGAACTTTATATTCTCCTTGCATTTCCTCACCAGGATGCAAAAGGGCTATTTACATCTTTTCTGCTGTGCTCTTATTCTTCACGCCCGTGCAAGAAGTCGCCGGACTTACTATTAAAATCGAATCATTTGCATGATAGCAAAACGAATAAGATCTTATACTGCAATGGAACAATTTTAAAGTAAAAGGAATAAAATTATTTTAGTTTTGGTATTTAGCATTAGAAATAAATTACCTTATTATGTTTTCGAATGTTAAGGTGTGCCTTATTAAGAAAGTTTTTTCCGCAGAACAATTTTAAAGTAAAAGGAATAAAATTATATTACAAATTTTTTAACAAAACGCAATATTGGCTACGTCAAGCAAGGATATTTTTTGCAGTCGGTGAAAGGGATTGAAAAAAAGTTCTTTAGAGTTTACTCATTGGAAAACCAGGAAAAACTTAAAATAAAAATTTAAAAAAAGTATCTAGGGTTGTGCTTAATGAACAGCTACTGATCCCATTAATAATATCAGAGGGAAAGAATTCGGAATCATAAACAGCTTAACCCTTATCGTAGGAACATTTCAAGATTAGGACTTGCGAAAGAAAGGCTCATTTATATCACCATGTAAGCCAGTTATGACTTATGTATCCGCTGCCTAAACGGCATCCTCAAAAAAGGACATTAAAAAACACTTTTATGTAAGCAGCGACACCTTACAGAGAGATCTAAAAACAGACCGTCGAGGAGTATCGGGATAAAATGAACAGGAATTTCTTCGAGAAAACAAGAAGCTGTGAATACGCAAATGCTTTTAGCCTGTTCAGTTGTAGTATTCCAGCTGAAGACCGAGATATCCGTCCAATCACGTCTTGCCTCACCAGTGACTCCAGTTTCCCCCACCTAATGTCACTGTACTTATACACTGCTTTTTTGTACTCTGTAATTCATTGCGTAATTTGTTTTATGCTTTATTCCTTGCATTTTGCTCTGTAATTACGAATTTTCACGTGTATGTAGTTATCTTTGTAATATTTTCCTGTTCGTTATTCAGTGTAGTGTCGCTTCAGTTCCGTTAAGTTTCTAATGAAATTTAGTTAAAGCGGGAATGGCAACACCTTCTAGTCTCCGCGAACAACGAAGTAAACAAACTTTGTCACGCGATGCTACGTGCATGTAAAATGTAAATAAATCTTATGAATAAAGAATCTATAACATCGTAAGGAATAAAATATTGGTTCCATTGGAGTCAGAGAAGGGGTGGGGTGCGTCTTCAAGAAGTATTTCAGAGGGAAACTGCTCTGTATTCACTCAAACAATTTCTAACGAGACGTTGACTTTAATTGCTGACAAGCATTTATAAGTTAAGAAATAAAATTTTCTTTTAGTGGCAGATTTTTTAAAACTCTCATTTCCTGTTTAACAGGAAAACATTGCATTAATTATATTTTTTAATATGTAAATATTCAGACATTTAAAATCAAAGCATAGATTCAAATATAAATTTTATGAATTATCTAAGTCCTTAAAAGGAGTAATTATAAAACGTGTTTCTAAAGCATTGCATGTTACAGTGAAGGAGGTTTAAAATATGTGACGTGTACACTACATGACTTCCTTGTACGGCCTATCAAATTATATACATTTTTTGCTGCATTTCATTTAAACCTATTTCCTCGAATTGTATTAGAGATATATTTCTCATTGAATTAATTCAGTCCTCACTTCGCGGCAAAGCAAAAATATATAAAAACTCGAAATATCTTCATTAAAAATTGTAAAATCAAGAAAAACGTAAAATACTGTGTTGTATTTTATATGTGTTGGGTACGTGCTCAGTGATGATTACAAGATGTACATAAACATCGTTTATTCTACATTACTCATCTACTATATTATATTACAGTTATGGTTAAAGATAATAATAGATACAGTTCAGTTACATATATAAACATCTCCCTTTTTTATAAAAATAATAATAGTAGTAACATTAAACATATCCTTTTAAATAATAAGGTTTCTTAACAGTCTTACCACATCGAGTAAAGTAGTTATGTCCATTTGAAAAATTTGGTGATACTATACCTCTTCACATTTGGGACACTTCACTGCTGTAGGTTTTGAAAGGACTTACAAGGCACATCTAAATTTGTAGTGCTTCTTGCTATTCTCAGGTATCTCGTGGTTCCTCTATAACTTCATTCTCACAGTTGTTTTGTATTGCAAACTCTTTCCTGATTAGTTCCTATAAGAAGGTCTCTTCTGTTCCTTTCTACAATTCTTTCACATATTCTTATAATCCTATATGAACATGGTCTTTCTTTTTCTTCTATAATTTTCCATCTTTCATTTAGTTTTTTCCCTTTCTCTTTTAT